ACGCATAAGCCTCCTTTGAATAAATATAACCAAAATCCATTGCCATGACTTATCGCGAGAGGCAAAAGGTTACGTTTAAGTCTCATAACATTGGTTAATGGAAACGCCGTCATTTCGCAATACTTTTTTATCAACATTTATAAAATATCGCCAAAGTTTTGCGCAAATCTGTAATGGAAACGCGCCTACTGTCAAGTGTATGTGCAATATATTCATATTTTTGCTCTCCACTTTATCGTCTTCATATTTATTAGTAAATCTAGAAAGACTTCCCCATTAATATACTTTTTTCTGCACCACTGTCACACTTAATGTATGCAAGTAGTATAATGTAAGACCTCGCAGAGAAATGCCCTTATTCCTTCCATTTATTTTATTTTATTAAGGGTATAATTAAATATTATTATATTGCATGAAAATTTTTTTTGTATTTTAAGTCCTGAAAGATATAGATTCGGTAATGATTACTTTATCTTGGAATGTATACACTGTAAAAAGTGACAAAGAATTCCATGAGAAATATGTGTTCAATAATAATAATGACAATTATAATTATTTTTATTTGTCTTTAATTGAAATACTACACTCAAAAAGAATACACTGTATATATTATATAGCATATATATACTATATTTCTAGATATTTCTATATTTCAGTTTGTAATAAAGGTACTTGCTTAGCTTACCCACAGTATATTGATTGCATCTAGTTTAAAAGTTAGACATTTTAATAATAATAATGCAAAATGTTATCTGGTAAGGAAAATGTTTATTTTAATGCAGGTGTACGTGAGCTTTTCTGATTAAGTTATGGGGATATCTTTTGAAGTGTATGGTATTGGTTGATGTTTAGATAAACTACATTATTGTGTTCTGTCATTAAAACATGTGCACTGTTCTGTAGGTGGAGGCCTGGCAGTTGGAACTCTGCTGCTTGTAGGTAAGCAATGAAGCAATGTCTTTATACTGTCATGTCATGCCAGTAGGTTGTTGAAAAAGTTATTATTTCTGGCTATTATGTTTGCACTCATCCAATGTTTTGCATGTCATAATGGTTAATAAAAATATGGGTAAGATATTTGATTACTAAAAATAATGTTTTCATTAGTGTACAGTACAAAACCAAAGCCAATGAAACACAGAAGCATCTAACCAGATGTGCAAATAGCAATAGTGTGTGTATATTATATTCTTTCTTAATAATAATGTAGTTGCTTTTGATTCTACAAATTATGATTCAGTAGGCTGATAGCTCATTAGATATGGTGATAACTCTGATTACAGATTAATTGTGTTTTTTGAAATTCTGTAAGGATAACTGCAGTTTACCTGAGTAGAGAGGCTAATTTTGAGGATGTTTCTGTTGCTCCTCATCATTTTTTCTTTTTTTTTTTTAAATATAAGGTTAAGAAAGTTGACACTTTACACTCTAGTATATGACTGCCATATCTTTTTTTTTTTGAATAGTGATTCATTTTGATGTGGCTCATCATTATCAAAACATATATTCATAAGTATCTTATATCTTTATGGCCTACTTTCTATTCTTTGCATTCTTTTGTCATATTGAAGTCATTCTTTCACTTCATTGAAAGTGGATTGGTCATGGTTCTTTATGATGTATTGAGTCCTCCTGTCTAGGTCACTCATGTCCCCAACACGTGACCCACATGTGTATTAGACAAGTAGATGTTTATACTAAATTGGAAAGAAATTATTCTAAATTGGAAAGAAATGATCTGCTTAAATTGTGTGCTGTAGCTTTATCTAATATGCTGCATCTTTTTTTTCCAGATGTTATTAACTTACAGGTGAAGTGTGTAATTTTTGTTACAAGTTGTACTAAAGCAAATGGTAAAAAAAAAAAATGTTATTAATCTGAACACCACCTGCCATTGGATGGTTAAATAGATAGCTCCGCCCCACATTTACATCACTAGTTGAGCCAGTGTTGCTGTGTAAGACTGGATGGGATGCTAAAACATGAAGAAATATTTTATTGTGCTTGTGTTAGGTAATCGGTTTAATTTTCTGCATATTATGTTATAGAAGAAATTATTTTAATATTGAAAAATACACAAATTGAACGGTTATTATTTGATGCAACAGTAATTAAAATACATGATAGAAGTGTCCCCAGTGGTTGCACGTTTAATTCCGATTTGTATTACCGGTGCCATTGTGAATCAGTGGGACTCAGACAGCAAACATATGGAACCAGGAGGGCAGAAGTGTTGACCCAAATTTCCCCTGCAGCTTTGAGTGACTGACTCACACTCACTGCACACACACTCCTACTGTCTTACACACATGCTGAAGTATGGCTTGCATTATTCTTTCTCCAAAAGAGATGCCCTCTCTTCTCTGCATCAGAAAAGATAGGAAGTCTCTCGATGTCCCACCTCTTGGGTGACTGATATGTGCCAGAGTCGTGTTTTCTCTACAGCAGAGATATGCACCCCCAACACATCTCGTCCTGCCCCCGAAACACCCCCGCTAGGCTAATAGCACCCACAGGTTTTATTTGTAAGGCACCATAGAAACGCCACCACAATAGGCCCCATCTCGAGTGGGCCCATCTGGGTGTCTTTGTCGGGGCCGCTGAAAGCCACAAAGGCCTGCTGACCTAGAAACACATCAATAAGGGAGAGGGGAGTTCTTCCAATGACAAATTGAAGAGCTGAGGAATTGTTTTTTCCTTCATTGGTGATGGAATATGAGAGGCATCCAGGTTTGTGGGCAGAATCGGGACGAGGACAGGAAATCCCTCATTCTGTCCTGCTGTTGGAGGAATCCTTCAGAGGTCACGCAGGGGCTTTAGTCCTGTGTGGGTTTGCGAGTGTTTGTCAAGAAGAATGGAAGGTTGAAACTGTCAGTGTGTGTGTGTGTGCGCGTTTTTGTGACAAATGAGGACATACATTTGTATAATGACAAGGGTATGACATAGGTATTACAAGGAGAAGGTGACTTTTCAGGACATTACCCCATGTCCCCACTTTTCAAAACGCATATAAATCACACAGAATGGAGTGTATTGAAAATCTGAAATAGCACAAAGTTTCCTGTAAGGGGTAGGTTTAGGGGTAGGGTTGGTGTAGGGCAATAGAATATATGGTCTGTACAGTATAAAAACCATTACGCCTATGGGATGTCCCCACTTTTCACAAACACAAACCTGTGTGTGTGTGTGTGTGTGTGTGGTTTGTGCTGGAGAGGGGAAAAAGTAGTCTGTGAGTGTTTCTGAGCTGGCCATTGCTCAACTCTGTTACAGGAAGTCATTTTATTTTTTGGGTAATTATATCAGCTCTAAACCAATTGGGGCAGTTACTTTGAAATTTAATAATAATAATAAAAAAGACTAAATATACAAAATGTTGATAAAAAGTGCAGGGTTAATGCAATTTATTTTTAAATTAATTAATATTTTTATTCAACAACGATGCATTAAATTGATCAAAATTGACAGTAAATAATTGTATAAGGTTACAAAAGATTTCTATTTATATTCATCAGATACACCTGGAACAAAATCTGATCTATTAAGAAATCATAACTTTTTTCAACATTGACAATAATATTACAATATTAGAATGATTTCTGAAGGATCATGTGACACTGAAGACTGGAGTAATGATCACAGCTGAATTACAGTTTAAAATATATGAACCTAGATAACAGTTATTTTAAATTGTAACAATAGTTCAATAATAGTATTTCTGTTTTTACTGTATTTAAAAATGCGTAAATTAGAATGCAAAAATAAATTAATCTTTGGTGACAATAAGAGACTTCGTTCCAAAACATTAAAAAGGAAAAATCTTACAGACCACAAATTTTCGAATGATGTTAGGTAACATTTATGTAATTTACATAATATAACAATACATTTTTTTCCAGTCAGAATTTTTTTTTTCCTGATACAAAAACAGCAATTAAGCATAATTATATTATATGTTGTATTTAATTTATTTTATATTTTATAAAACTATAGTATTATGTTGTACAGTATACATTGCTATGGAAATGGTTTACATAAAATCACGGTTTATAATTTTTTAAAGCAATCATTTTGAAATGCTAACAAATAACCTTCTCCTTCTCCAACGATTTTAGACCTTCTTGGTGCTTTATAAGGGTGTTAATATGTACAAAAATGTGTAAAACACAGTAATAGTAATGCCACTTTGAAGGCGGTAGTAATACCTAATAATATTTTTTCGATGAAAATGTGCATCTCAAAACCTCAGAACTATGATCAGGTCTGCATTGGCAAATGTTTGTCTGTATAACTGTATCTGTCACTGAAGGTTCGTCACAGGGTTGAAGAACTGGTTTACAGATCAAGACAGGTGTTCTTTTCTCTTATACTCCGTTCAGCTTTGTAACAGACATACATGTACATTTCCACTACAGGAGGAATTTAGTGTCATATTCACACTTTTCAGGCACAGTGTAGCTGCTGATAGATGCCGAATCCATTACAGTCACACTAGCCTCTTACCATGTGGCATGTATCACAAAGCGTCTAGTGTGTTTGGCATCACTAGCAACCAGAATAAACAGTTGTTTTCTTATTTCATCTGAGGTTAGTCTTGTTTTTGTTCTCTGTGTTGGGATAATTACAGTATCTGATGTGATAGTGACTCACTGACAGTTCTTTTGTCACAAGGTGCGTCAAAAGGCTCAGCGCTCATGTTTGGGTTGGTATGTGTGGCATTGATGGTGATTCCTGTTCACAGAGGAGGACCGCTATGACAGCTACTCCCGCATGCTGCTCAAGTACTTCCTGGCGGAGGGAGTTGTGTGCGGACATGAACTCTTCCTGGCATCCGCCCGAGATCACCCTGATGAGATCGTGCAGGTATGAAGAAAATCAAATCAAGTGTTCACACTCTGCCTCTTCGACACTTTGGTCAGGTTTTTTGGTTCTGTGAACTCCAAATACATCAAAATCCATTATTTACAGCCGTATTATTTTTATATAACTAGTACCTGGCCCTCAAAACAATAAACCTGGAGAAATCTGTGTGTCTTTTTCAGTAAAATGTTTTTCTCAGCATTGGTCAGGAACCGTGTGACCGAACATGACACAATGTCTGTATGTATTGTTATGACTGTGCTATATAGTCTGATTTCTTTTGGTCTAAGGACTCTTTGAAACTGTTTGGAATAGAATACCATAGTCAACGTAGTCATAGTATTATTTTTTTCTCTGCATGTATAGTCTGCATAGCAGTTTATACATGCTTTGTACATTCCAAATCTGTCCCACAATGCAATGCGCACAAATTGACCTTGCATTGCTTATGCAATGAAGTAACCAGAAGTAATATGTGCTGTAATTTTTAACATCTTTTCTTTCTTCATTATTTCATATGACATTTTATTTTATTTTGACATTATTTGCATCTTGTCTTGCTTCATTATTTGTTTAGACATTGTTTTATATTTTTTTTATTTTGAAATTATTCATATCTTCTTGCTTCATTATTTGATCAAACATTTTATTCTATTTTTTATTGTATTTTATTTCAATTGGTCATTCACATCTTTTCTTACTTCATTATTATTAATGTTACTAGTAGTAGTATATTTTATTTAATTTATTTTACATTGTTCGCATCTTTGGTATTTGACCATTTTATTTATTTATTTATTTAGACACATCTTAATCATTCACATCTTCTTGGTTTATTATTTAATCAGACACATTTTATTTTATTTTACATCATTCACAGAGTAAGACTGTAAGGCATCAGTGTAGTTTAAAATGTGCATACTGTTTCTTGTCCTGCATTTAAAAAGCTCTAGGCAGTAGTCATGTCTAGTGTGCAGTGTGCAGTGTGCTTTTAAGCAGTACACTAATATTCCATTACAAACATAGCCAGTGTTTTCTCTCTCCTCTCCTACCCCATCTAAGCTTTCATAGACTGATACATGAATGTTTTTGTGTAAGAGCTCAGGGAGTTACCTGTGAGCGTTAACGAGTCTCACCTTAATGACAGTGGACAGGAGTTCCTCTCTCGCCGTCCCCTGATTGGCCCCCAGTCAACACAAGCTTAATGAGGGCCTGTTGTTGCCCTTCAGACAGCTCCTGCATTGAGCTGTTATTTGTGAAACAGTCTCTGTTTTTTGTTATTGCATGGTCTGTATGAACATTCCCCTAAGGGACACAGTTCCCACCTTCATTTTGGCATTTTTTGGCATTAACGACAGCATCGACCCTGTTGTTTAAACAACAGCTTTTAATGTGCTAGCACCATTTTGTGTTTATTCATATTTTTGGCCTTGTTAAAACAGGTCACTTGACATTCATTTCCCTTTTCACAGTGAGCTTTGGCCAAGCTACTAGCTACTTAAACTAGCTTTAGTCTACCTAGATACAGTGTAAAAATTCTAGAAACATCAATACCCACACAAACTCAGTTAAAATATAGACGACATATTTGAGATAAAATATAGACAATGTATTTGATATGTCATATAAAAATATATAGTAAGTTAATAACTGGTCATTTATTTTTCAAATACAAGCAACAAGCAATACATCGTAAACATTATTCCAAATATTCCATAAATGCTGTTTCAATTTTAAACGCTTCTCTAAAGATTTTCGTAAGGTCAGGTAAAAAGTATTTCCTTATTCAGATTACATTTATGAACTAGTCTAAACATTTAAGACTTCAATTTCAGTGGGTGCAAAAAAGTTATAACAGTAATACAATGACATTATTTGCAACTTTTTCTTTAATTTTATTCTGTCTAAAATATATTTTAAAAGTAGTATATAAATTAGTTAATTAATGTTCTGTCTTTTCATATATTTATAAAAAATATATAGGAACTCCCTTCTCCAATTGTGGATGATGTTGCCGGCATGAAAATCAGCGAGGGTCAGTCTCAGCCAAGTGACCCAGAGAATCCAGACACAATGAAAATCGCCTGGCGCTACCAGAACCAACCAAGAGTTCAGGTAAAAGACCATCTGTAGGGCAGTCGGTCCTTTTATTCAGTACAATATTGAGAAATCAACTGCACACAATTTTAAATTTAGTGTACAAATGCATTGTGGTTGGCACAAACAATATTAAATCTTCGTTGCTAATGAATTTACACCAGTGTTATTATAGGTAACTAAAACAATAAAAACATTTTGGTTACTTGAAAGAAAATAAATGTTAACTGATCTAAAATATTAGAAAACTTGCACTTATTTTATTTCAACTGGTTGCCAAGGCCACATTTCAAATTTTTGTTTAGTTCAACTTGAAATACTAAAATAACTAAAAGTAAATAACCTAAAGCTAAAATATATACATATATACACAAAAGAATAAAAATGACAAAAACACAAAGCAAAATTATTAAAACTGAAAAATTCAAAATGTTAATAAAAACTGTAATAGTACATCAATGATACTAAAATAACACTGATTTGGATTTGAAGTACTCTAGTTTCTTTTGCTTTGCATAGTTTTATGTGCATGAAACACAGCCTGTCCATGTTGTCATCAGTCTTGTTTGTCTAGCTTCAATGCCAATATACCATGGCGTTTGATTGGACGTACAACTTTATATATCAACATTGAAAGCTACACTGTAAAAATGACCATGAATTTAACGGTAAAAGACTGTAAAAACCTGTTAAATGGTTAACGTGGACAGAATTTAGTCTGTCTTTTAAAAAATTGACAAACCTCTTTATTTTACTATGCTACCCATGCAAGATTATATGGTAAATTAGTTGCATTTTCTTATTTGCATTCAGCATCGTTTTATACCTGCTGTCCACAACTCAATCAGAACAGAAATGCGACCCATTTTTGGAGTGGAGAACCACTTTTATACATGCTAAGAACAGGGGGTGAGAAAAATAGTGTCCTATAATAAATATATCAATTCCTACCCACCCAGCGCTGTGAATGGGCTTTGGCTGCTCTCATTCACAGTTTAGGTGGATTACTCACGCTTAGCTGGTTATAGGTGGACTTAAAACCCAAGGAGACAGGAGGACATGGAGCTTCTATTCAACCTCAAGCCCTTTACAATGGACCAGCAGCCTCCAGCACCCCCAAATCCCTTCACAGCCCTCGCCGTGGCGTCCGCGCACCCCTCTTTCTTCCATTTTCAGAAAAGACCCCTCCTGCCAGCCCATAATCCAGATTGCTATGGAGATTAGGGGGGACACTAGTGAGTCCCCAAAGATTTCACTCTTTCTGTCTGCATTTTCGGACAACTTTCACTCATTTTTTTCCTCCTCATTGGATATTTTCAGTCTCGTTTCCTTATTTCGTCCTCCCCCTTCCTCTTTTTTCCCCCGTCTCAGAGGGGATACTTACCCTCCTTAACCTTTATCATACCTCTGTCCTCTTCACAAAGCACCAGTAAATCTAGTAAGGGATTTGCATCCTAAACTCGTTTCTTGTTCTCAATGGAGATGCCAGATCAAAGTTCAGTCAGTCAAAACCCATGCCGTAACGTTAAAGGGGTCGACCCGACTGGCCCACTAAACGAGGATGAGCGCCAAGCTGTCAGTCTCCGAAGGAGGTGCTGGAACACATAAGAGTCGCTGATCCAGATCAGGAGAAGATTAGGGGCTCGCCTCGCTGCTCATTAGAAACTCTGGAGCAAAAACCAGACCCCCTCACAACCTGAGGAAAACATCTGCCCGCGTGCAAGTGTGCTTTCCTAAGCCCAAGTGGTCAGTCTCGTCAGAAAGTGATTACGTTCTCGATGGCTTAACGAATCCTCTGGGTCTCTTACAGTTTAACAATGGATAAGCTATCAGTGGTAGCTGGAAGCTGGAGCTGGAGTCTTTTATATGCTTAACTTTTCTTGTTATTGTCTTATGTAAAGAATGGTCCACTATGATAGGTCATCAATTCGTAGATGATTCTCTATGTACACAACTGTTTAAAAGTTGGTCAGTAAGATTTATATTTTAAATAATAAATGTTTTTATTTATTTTTTTGAAAGGCATTAATGCTTTTGTTTAGTAAGAATGCATTAAATATGTTGTGGAAAAACATTTCAAATAAATGTTGTTGTTTTTTTTTACTTTATTCATCAAAGAATTCTTAAAATATATATAATTGTTTCCGCAAAAATATTAAGCAGCACAACTGTGCTATTATGAACATTAATGATTACAAGAAATGTTTCTTGAGCACCAAATATTAGCATATTATAATGATTTATGAAGGATCATGTGACACTGAAGCCTGGGAAAAATTCAGGTTTGCCATCACAGGAATTAAATTTATTTTAAAATATATTAAAGTAGAAAACAGTTCATTTAATTTGTAATTTAATTTAATTTCACAATATTAGTGTTTGTATTATTTAAAAATTTAAATTTAACTTTTTTTTATTATTAAACAAATGCTGCCTTGGTGAGCATAAGACTTCTCTCAAAAACATTTTTAAAAAATTGTACTGACCTCAATTTTTTTGAAGTGCTAGTGTGTAAATTACAAATATTTATTTACTATAAACTAGTAAAATGTTTGTAGCAAATAAATATGTTCTTTTATATTTTGTTTTACATACTGTGACTACCGACAGTTGCAACAATTGAGACATGACAGTCTATGGGGGTCTTCTAATTGTTTATCTGCATAACAGCACCATAGTGAAGGGGCCGTGTTCCCAAGCCTGTGTTTACTCGCATCAGTAAATGTGTTCCTGTGTGGCGATACTGTGTCCGCGGAACAGCTTGTGCCATGGCAGCAACGTGATGGATGCCGTGGCCTACGTAGGTGTTGCTTTTGGAATTTTGCCGTCATTCCTTCCTCTGCCTTCAGTTTATTATGATTTTATGACGTGTTGTAATGGAATCATAAAGCTTTTAGCCATTAACTGTTTTAGCACACCTTTTAGATGTGTTTCCGTCCCATAGGAACATGAAGAGACTTTATTCCTAGTACGTATATTGCTGAAGGGCATCTAATCGTCATGTAATTTCCAACCCAAAAATTATATTATGCTGGCTGTTTTGTGACCCTTGCAAAGTAAAGGTTTCAGCTTTATCCGAGACAGATGAATATGGCAAAATTTTATTGCATTGATTGTTGTACGTATTGCGGCAGTTTGTAAATGAAGTGTCTAGTGATTGGCGCTAAAATCTTGTTCAGTTTTATCTGAAACAGATGAATGTGGTAAAATTGTATTACTTTGGTTGTTGTACATTAGGGATATATCGATAATCAGAGGCTACTATTGTGGTATCGATATTTTCTGCAAAGTATCGATACTTAATTATATTAATAATTTCTGCATAACTAAATGTTTTTAGCAGTGTTTGCAGGCCGATCGGGGACGGTATGTGTATGATATAAAAAAAAGAGAAAAGCTCTCGCGGACGCGGTGGTATGACGTTACAAACCGATCGGTCTGCGGCTGCGCAGTGCGATGTGCCATTCACAATCTCAACACGCACGATCGCACGCAAATTGACACGATGGCAGAAAGCAGGAAACGTAGCGTGGTGTGGTGCTACTTCTCAACAGCGGAAAAAAATATTGCACGATGCAATATTTGTTATAAGAGAGTCACACACAGCAACAATACAGGCAACCTTTTTAAACATTTACAAACAACACACCCTGAAACGTATAAAGAGGCTGAACAAAAACAAGCGGCCCAGTCTTCCTCTGCCCAGTCTCCCTCTGTCCGACAAAAGACGTTACAGGAGAGTTTTCAGGGAGGCAAACCCTATCCAGGTACAAAGAGCAGAGTCATTAGTTAACTTATTTACTGTACTCCCTGTCTGTTTCGTAACCATAAGGCGAATAAGAATAAATATAAAGTGTGTGTGTTTGTGTGTGCGTTTGTGTGGGGTGTCCTGGTATTCCTTACGTTATAGGGACAAAACGTTACCACAAGTATAGTAATACCAATAAATTTTGACTTCCTGAGGACATTTTAGGTCTCCATGAGGGAAAGTTGAAGATGAAGAAAAAATGGTCCGTTCAAAATTAAGAAATAAGTAAAAGTATGCACAGTTTGTTGTTGGTATTTTAGTTTATTTTATTAAGATTTGTTATGTTATTTAATACATTTTTTTTTTGTAAAATATGGAGATAGTACAATAGAATGTTGAAGAATAAGAAAAAACTGCCTTTTTAAAAATAAGAAATAAGTATAAAATATGCAGTTTATGTTGTTGGTATTTTTGTTTATTTTATTAAGATTTATGTTATTTAATCAATATTTTTGTAAGAAGGTTGTTTAAACATTTTTATTTGTTGCTAAATTTGCTTTTCTAATAAATAAGTTATTAATGGCCAGTATGTGTATGTAATTTGCCTTTAAGTGTAATTTTTACAAACACATGAAGGTGATTGTACGTATTGTGGCAGTTTGGAAATGTAATGTTTAGTGACTGGAGCTAAAAGCTTGTTCAGTTTTATCCGAAACAGGTGAAGGTGAATTTGGCAAAATGTTATATTGGTTGTTGTATGCATTGCAGCAGTTTGAAAATGAAGTGTCCACTGATATGGCGCTTAAAGCTCAATAATTTTTATTCAGAACTGATGAAAGTGAATGTGGCAATTTTATTACGTCGGTTGTTGGGCATATTTCTGCGGTTCAGAAATTAAATGTCTGGTGAGTTACACTAAAAGGTTAATGCTCTTTTGTGTTTGACAATAACATACCTCCTACACTAAACCTAACCGACTGTTGAGCAGATAAAAATTAGATAAAAATGCTTTTTTTGAAGCAGCTATTCCATTTTAGTTTGCTTCTGTAAGTCTTTCAATTCTTGTATTGAGTATCGTGAAAAGTAGGACTCGTACCTGAATGCTCGGTATCGCAATGTAGTGCTGTACCAGGTGAGCTAACAAGCAAGTTTACTGCATTAGAGAAATCATACATATGGAGCTGGTCATGTGATGCGGATGTCAAATGGTTTACTTTACAAATCATGCACTATGCTAAAAGTGTTTTGGGGTCATCATAACATATTATTGTGCAGGGAAAGAAGTCTGTAAATCGATAATCTGATCATAATTTGTGAGAAAAGAAATAAAAATTGTTGCTATTTTACTACATTTAGTTTTTATTTGAGCTGGAAACTGCAGCAAATTGTATGTGTGTATAAAATGTCTTGAGATACAAAAAACCCTCATTGTCTTTCCACGTTTCACAGCTCATAGAATAAAAACCCCATGCCGTTTCCAGACTGTTAAATTGCTCCGTTTCACTACGTGCCGTAATTGGCACAAATTGCTCTCCAGGTGAATGCGGAGCCTGTTGTTTAAGACGGATGCTGCCTCCACGCGCCCCTCTGGTCCCCCTCTCGCTCGCATCACTGTGATCTTAATTAGCTCACCTGTCGGCCATTATCCTCAACGGACGGCACCTTAAGCGATCACGCTCTGTTAGGCTGCTGCGGTCTCTGTCTCAGACACAATGGGGGCGTGTCCTCTTTTGATTGCCGCCACCCCCACCTCCCCAGGTCTTAATCAAAGGAGGGAAACACATGTTTCACCCCATTAAGGAGCAAATCAGTGAGGTGGCTTTAGAGCGTGAAATGTTTGGGGTCAATGATATATTTTCTTAAAGAAATTAATATTTTTGTTTAACAAGGATGCATTAAATTAATCAAAAGTGACAGTAAAGACATTGATAATGTTACAAAATATTTCTATTTCAAATAAATGCTGTTCTTTTAAACTTTCTGTTCATCAATGACACTGAAGACTGGAGTAATGGCTGCTGAAAATTCAGCTTGGTCATCATAGGAATTAATTACATTTAAAAATGTATTTAAAAAGAAAACAGTTCTTTTAAATTTTACAATATTAAGGTATTTTTACTGTATTTTTGAGCAAATAAATGCAGCCGTGGTGTGCACAAGAGACTTCTTTCAAAACCATAAAAGTCATTTCAAAAGTCTTACCGACCCCAAACGTTTGAACACTATGTGAATATGCACAGATGGAAGATTCATAATCAGATGGAAGATTCATAATCAGTTCTATCGACACTATTTGTTCATAATGATTACCACAGAAAATTTTAATTTTGAGACTTAATCATTATGTGCGTTTGACATGTGACTGTGTCATAAAACCTGTGTCATAAAAGTTATAATCCCATTATTTCAGCTAGAATCAGAAAAATTCAGCTAGTCCTTTTGAACACAACTAAAAGTATGTGTCAGGCCTGGATGTTGCTGTTTGTCAAGATTTAAATTCAGTTCTCAATCTTTGAGTAATTGATGGCTGTCGTAGCTGCATGCAGAGTGGCACAGTGTGGTCATTGCAACATGTTGTGAGCCAGAATGAGAGGGAAAGACTGAAATGAATGACTGAAGTGACAGAATGAAAGACTTTACAAAACCCCTGAGGTGTGATATATATCTTTAAATGAGCAAAGACATAAATCTCAGTCTAGTAGTTTAATCTCAACAGGCTGCTTGATCGTCATCATTATATTTCAAACAAAAATGCACTTGCTCTGAATAGTAATAGGAGTCTTCAGAATGTCTGAATGCCATTGCATTTCAAGTCTCTTATTGCTCACCATGGCTGCATTTATTTGGTTAAAAAAAATGCAGTAAAAGCAGTAATATTATGAAATATTATTGCAATTTTAAGTAAGTGTTTTATATCTGAATATATTTTAAAATCTAATTTATTCATGTGATGCAAAGTTGAATTTTCAGCATCATTACTCCATTCTTTAGTGTCACATGATCCTTCAGAAATCATTCAATATGCTCATTTACTGCTCAAGAAAAATATCTTATCAATGTTGAAAACAGTTGTGCTGCTTAATGTTTTTGTGGAAACTGTGATACACTTTTTGTCAGGATTCTTTGATGAATTAAAAGTTCAAAAGAACAGCATTTATTTGAAATAGTAAAGACTTTCAAGATGTTACAAAAGATTTGTCACTTTTCCCCAATTGAATGCGTCTTACGGAATGAGAAAAAAAAACCTTACTGACCCCAAATTTTTGAATGTGTTTCTGTTGTTGAATAATGTTAAACTTAGTATTCTTCATTTTGTAACATAATATTACACTTGAAATGTGTGCTTGTGCCAACCTTCCGTAAGATAAATGCCATGTGGTATTTTGTTATCTAATGCAGTTTTAGGGTCTAAATATGTTTTAGGACACTGTATAAAATTCTCAGATTTTAGGGAGAAAGAAAGCAAGAAACATATTTGAGTAAAGACAAAATGTGCAACACAGAGCAGGTCAAGTGCTTTGACCTCCCTTGCTATGAGTTGCACATCTTACCCCTGATTTAACATAGAAGCGCTGTGTCACTGGGATCAGAAGCACTGTCCCGTTAACACAGCGCTCTGTTTCAGCACACTCAGACTCACCGCAGGCCTCAGGGGGAGCGCCCGGAGCTGACAGAGGTGCCAAAGTGTTTTAATTAATTTCATTTCATTTCATTTGATTTAATTAGTGATGTATTTCCTTGCGTCTACATGCACTGCTAGGTTGCCAGGGTTACTGCCGATGTCAACAGGCTTTTGTGATGTCAAAGCAAATCCCACTTTATGACGGCAGCATATGCCGCAACAATTAGTGGTTTTAATTGAAGTGTACACAGGTATCATCAGCTTTTGACCTGGTATGAAGCCATGATCATAATAGTCCACATTCAAGCATTTTCCTGAAACTGAACCTTTGCATAAAAAAATAAATAATAAACATGGTTTAGAGGCGATCATTTGTTTGCACATTTGTTCTAAGTCAACTTTGAAACTTCTCTTACAATTTTAAGTCTCTTGACACATCGGTATGATTAATTGCACAATTCCACACTTTTTACTTTAGATTAAAGCATCTGATAAAAGAAAGAAATGTTAAATGTGACTACGTTTTACACTTACTGACCTGGTATGAAGCCATGATCATAATAGTCCACATTCAAGCATTTTCCTGAAACTGAACCTTTGCATAAAAAAATAAATAATAAACATGGTTTAAAGCTATCATTTGTTTGCACATTTGTTCTAAGTCAACTTTGAAACTTCTCTTACAATTTTAAGTCTCTTGACACATCGGTATGATTAATTGCACAATTCCACACTTTTTACTTTAGATTAAAGCATCTGATAAAAGAAAGAAATGTTAAATGTGACTACGTTTTACACTTACGTTACTCTTTGAAAGATTGGGGTCTGTACAATTTTTATTTTATTTTTGAAAGACACTTATGCTCTCAAAGGTTGCATTTATTTTATTACAATAATTACAGGAATATTCAGGGTTTAGGGTTAGTACAAATTTAGAATTTTTATGTTTACCAAAGCTGCATTTATTTGATCAACAATATAGTAAAACAGTATATTGTGAAATATTACAACTTTAAATAACTGTTTTCTGTTTCAATATAATTTAAAATGCTATTTATTCCTGTGATGTAATTCTTAATTTTCACCAGGCATTATTCCAGTCTTCAGTGTCACATGATCCTTCAGAAATCATTCTTATATGATGATTTGCTGCTCAAGAAACATTTCTTATTATTATTAATGTTGAAAATGTTCGTGCTGAAAATGTTCAAAATAAGTATATTTTATTCTTGTCATGTTCTTTCAGTCCGTTACCAGTACCCTATCATGCTCTCCTGAAGTCTATCCAGACGGTCATCCGGAAAGAAGGGTTTGACGGATCCACACCACAGGTTGGTTGTCATTTGTTTAGCCATTTATTACTCTGTTTCTCTGCCCTGATAATCATAATCAACTTTTTTCAGCAGCGATAACTTTAAAGAAATAGTACCCAGAAAATGAAAATCCTGTACTCACTCTCTCATGTCTTTCAAAATCCATGAAATTTTCTTTCTTTTGTAGAACAAAAAAGGAGTCAATCGTACCAGAATGCCTTATTTCAGTATAATTAAAGTGAATGGTGACCACAAATTTCAAGCAAGGTTTTCAATGAACAGTCACTTAAATTTCAGTCATATGGCTTCAGAAGACATGGAATATATGGGTATGAGTCAAAATGACTACTTTTATTATACTTATCTACATGAATGTGAATAAATGGCACATTTATAATTTTTGGGTGATCTATCCCTTTAAATTGACCAAAAAGGCTATAATAAAATGCACAGTTAACAGACACGCTTGTCATTAACACCTCTGGAACAATGAAAGCGTTTTGCCGCAGGCAGTGTTGTTACAAGACCTTTAATTTGTTGTTTCATTGATTGGTCTCGCTTGGCTAATTGTTGCCTGATTTTGTCTGTGCTTTCACTTCCTTTGTAGTGTGGCTTTCAAAGCTTGTGATAATTAGGAAATGGAAAAGAGCTTCAGATATAAAGGCTTTATTTTTTTATTTTCCTTTCCAACTTTATTCCTCTTTTTCTCGTCTCATCCTCAGTTGTCAGTTTCTCCATGTTGTGCTTGAATCGCTCTCAGGAGGGAGATGGGTTCCCTTGGGTTCCTCTTCCTTAAAGCTGAGTCCTATTAGTTTTGTGGTAAACAGGCCAAGACAGACACTGGGCAATATGCCCTCTGTCTGTTCATATTCATTAGCTCCTACTGAGAAGCAGGGGAGCTCGGCCCCTCTGGGGGCCCCTCTCAGAAACGGCCCCATGATAGCCCCTGTCTTGACTTCCACATCAGCACTGCATCTGCTGAGCCGCTCTTGGGACCGGGCCGCTTGAGGATACACTCGCTATTTTTAATCAGTTTCCAACTTTATGTGGCCCTAATGTGGTTTATCTCATGTGGTGAACGACATACATGGTCTCCTGACCAAATTTTGTGTCGGCTTAGTAAGCAGGCCTATAAGTTTATTAAATATAGTTAGCGAAGTTATACTCAATCTCAAATCGCTGTCTTTAAAACCACCTTTATTATTTTATTTTATATTTCAGAGATTTATTTTGTGTTTACACATATTTTAGTTACACCGTAGGCTTATGTCAACCCAACAAGCAATTAATAAAAAAAAAAAATAGAAATTGCTTGTTGTGCTAAATTCTACTTGTATAGGAAATGGTATTAAAGGTGACATATCATGAAAATCTGACTTTTCCAGGTTTTAAGTGCTATAATCAGGTCCCCAGTGCATCTACCAACCAAGGAAATTTGAAAAAGATTAACCCAGTAACTTTGTTTTGGTAAGCCTTTTTCTGCAAACATCTGAAAAAACGAGCGCGTCTGATTTCGCTCCCTTGGTGACGTGGCAAAGGGATCTCATTATAATATTACCGCCCCTTAATCTGTACGTTTCCACCCATGGCACCGTCATTTGATTTCGCAAGCGACAATGGTGTACCAGCTCCAATGCCATGGTGAAAGTTTGAGCAAAACACGCTAACTGTTCTGTCCTTGGCTGCACAGATGAGCACAGAGCTGAAACTTCACAGACGCATTCTGGGGACACCAGATACTTATATTACATATTGTAAAAAGGGACATAATATGTCTCCTTTAAAACGAAATAAATTAAATAATCCTAAATAAAATTGTTAAGTGGGGTTCTAGTTCAGAACAGAACACTGTCTAGTTTAAAGACAGGAAACCCATGTCGTGTACAGTTTTGTTACATTACATGAAAAAGATTTCCAGTACTTCCTGTCAGCTCTGATCTGTCCTATCATAATAAAGGCAAACATGCCAAAAATAAATCTTTAATAAAAAAAAGAAAGAAAAAGACTTCCAAAAAAAAAGTTTTTACTTTCAGTTTCAGTCTTATTGCAAGAAATTTAGGATTAAATCACTTGCTCACTAATGGATCCTTTGCAGTGAATGGGTACCATCAGAATGAGAGTCCAAACAGCTGATAAAACATCACAATAATCAACATTACATTTCTTCAAATGTTTTCTGATGATGAAACAAACACACCAAGGACAAAAAAACAATAAATTCTAAAGAATGAATGATTTCTAAAACTTTATGGTTATCATTCACAGTGTGAATGGGCCTTAAATAAATGTTTAAAATTGTATCAAATATTTCACTGCGCTGTGTCTTACCTATCATCTACATTCAGCTTTTCAACAAAGTCTCCATATACATCCATGCATGTCAAATAATGCTCCTTTTTTTTTTTTTTTGCTCCCCATGAGGCCAGTAAGTTTTATAGTTACTTGCTAAAGTTTTCTTATTTGAATATTCTAATTTTAGCATAGTCCCGTCACTGACACAAAATCTTTTGAGATATATTTCACAATATATGTCACAAACCACATTTGACAGCATATACCAACCCAGTCTCATAAAAATACGTACCTCTGTGTGCTTTTCTGCAACACCGTTTTTACGTACCTTACTGCACGTTTCGCCGCAGTTTCAAAGAGAAATATCCACTGAGTGGCGCTAAAACACGGGTTCAATACGTGAACCCTGGCACGTTTCTATTACATTGATATAGGTACGTATTGCTGTGTTTTTATTACGTTGCTTCAGGTACGTATTGCGGCGGTTCAGAATTCAAATATCCGGGGACTGTCCCTAAAAGTTAATGCTCTATAGTGTTGGGAATATGCCCTACACCAAACCCAACCCTAAACCTACCCGATAGTGTTAACAAATGCAAAACTGATATAAAAACGCATTTGTTGATGCAACCGTGTCATTTGAACTTATTTATATGCAGCTTTGAACTGTTTTATCGAACCGTAGTTTCACGGGATTCGAACCGGAGCTCCTAGCCTCTCAAGTACGTCTCCGTACTCCGTCAGCTACCGAACAAACCTACCCTCGATGAAAACCCACTGATATGAAGCTGGATATGTGCGATGCTAACGTTCAAAAGCATCAGTTTTCAAATCTCCCAGCATATTAAAATTGTTTTGAAGTCATAACATGATATTCTTCAAGTAATTGTGCGAAAATTACGCTTTATTAATCGAAACTCTGTAAATCATACTCTGTGTGAAAATAATTTAAAAGGTGTCGGAGTTTTACTGCCTCTAGTGTTCATTTCTTTTGGAAACTAAACCTTTATGAATAATGTTGGAAAATAAAAATATGTTGAAAGCAAAACTTTATTTCAAGTTCAAGCGATTCAAGCGATGTTTAACTGTTTAAACTATAGTTTAAAGTTTGATGGAATCAAGTTCCCAAATTAAATCTTATTCTGATCAGTAGCTTAAGTCTAGTTTGCGTTAGCTCTTTCTTGTTGATCGTTGCGCTTTAGTGTTTTTCTTGTAATCCGTGGCACTGATGGACACCTCGGGCTCCTCACCCTGGAAGTCCTCGATCCCCTGTCAGTCAACCGACAGATTCAGCGCTTACATCATCAAACAGTGCCGTTCTGTTGGCAGAGGTCGTGGAATGTGATGAGGTTGAGAGAACATGGGCACAAAGGCAAGAATGCTCAGAATGAGAGCAAACAGGGCAACAGTGAGACTGACTAAAACGTTTGTCAGATTGGTGACTCAATTCTAGCTGTGACTGCAATGACCTATAAAGTCTGAATAAAATGCAGTAACATTGCTGGTCATGGTAGGTTTGGTAAAATCATTAATGAAGCTTTTTCTTTTATTTTTATTATTTTCTTTTTTTCTTTTCTTATATTTTATTATTTTTCATTTTTGTTTTCATTACTGCTAGTTTGAGATTTTTTTCTCTTTTTTATTTCTCCTTTTTATTGTATGTTCATGTTACCATTAGAAATTGTTAAAAGCATATCATTTTTCTCATGCACACATAACGGGGAAAAGAGTGTGAGCAGTAAAAAGCCAGAGTGTGGCCGAAAGGAAAGAGGAAGCCGGTGAGTCAGGAACACCCTCTTTGTGGAAATGTCAAGCTCAACCCTCAAGAAGCTTTGGAAACACAGTCAAACAATAAGGTTTATTTAACTTAAGATGCTTGTGATTGCTGGACGGTGTAGAGGGTGTTAACTTTACTGTTTATTGTCAGTGGACGAAGGCTGATGTGAGGAGAACAACCAGGCGGTAGACAATTCAACACCACAGCTATTTTCAGCTGGTTTAAGTAAGCTATCTAGCTTCCTTTTCTCTATTTCAAAGATATAAGCAGGTTAATCGGGTATTCACAGTACAAAGATACTAAATGAAGCCATGTGTACAATAATATCAAAGAAAAATTGCATTGGGGGAACTTTTCTAGCCCCTGTTTTAAAAGATTATAACAGCTTTAAACATGTTATGTATTTTCAATTGCATTTTCCTCATTTTTAAGAGTATAAAAAGGTTATGCCTATACCAGAATTATTTTTTATCTTTTCCTTTATTTGTAAAACTATAAAATCATAGAAATATTATTCAACAAAAAAATCTGAAATCAGAAATATTTATATTCATATAAATTTAACAGAAATGTAATATTTTTACATTATGATCTGAAAGTAGCTTTATTAGGTGTAATTATCAGAATTTATTTTTTATTTATTTATGGTAAATTAATTTGACTGCTACAGTAGTTAATTTGTTGTGTTTGCAAGTCCACAGCTTATCCAAAATGTGTATTTTTATGGAGAGGTTTACTAAAGACTAGAAAACTATTAGGTCTAAACTGAAAGTGCTGAAAAGAGCTTCTACCTTTCACATCTTCATAAATATGCAAATATGAAATTGTCCTGCTTTTCTGGGACATCTGAAACTTGTATTGCCGTCACACCAGTTGCCAGTTTTCTAGTTGTTCTGGTCTGAGGTGTCCTCTCAGTCTTTATTAAGCAGGTTCAGAATCGGCTCTTTGA